ATCCCAGATCCAACCCCAAATCCAATCCTGGATCCAACCCCAGATCCCGGATCCAACCCCGGATCCAACTGAAATCTAATTCCAGATCCAACCCCAGATCCAACCCCGGATCCAACCCCAGATCCCGAATCCATCCCCAGATCCAACCCCAGATCCATCCCTGGATCCAACCGCAGATCCAACCCCAGATCCTGGATCCAACCCCGGATCCAACCCCGGATCCAACCTCGGATCCAACCCCAGATCCCAGATCCAACCTCAGACTCCGGATCCTGGATCTAACCCCAGATCCAACCCCAGATCCAACCCCGGATCCAACCCCAAATCCAACCCCGGATCCAACCCCAGATCCCGAATCCAACCCCAGATCCCGAATCCAACCCCAGATCCCGGATCCAACCCCAGATCCAACCCCAGATCCCAGATCCCCCCTGGATCCAGTTCCACCCCCACCACCTCCCCAGGCCCGGGGGACAATTCCGCGCCCTCCCTGCGCTCTCCAGCCGGGCCGGAATCCTCAGGGAAAAACCCGGGATATTCCGTCCCGGATACCTGGTCATCCATGAGGGACACGAGGGGGGACACGACGAGGGTGAGGGCCCCGGAATTCCGGTGGTACAGGAGGGCCGGGAGCTGGTAGCACAGGGATTTTCCCGTTCCCGTGGGAAGCACCACGAGCGTGGATAACCCTGAGTGGGGGGAAAATCGGGAATTCCCGGAAGGCTGAATTCCCGGGAAAAGGAGAAGGTCGGGATAAAAGAGGTTCGGGAAGGGATTCCCACCGCAGAGGATCCGCATGATGGCGGCGGCCTGGCCCGGGCGGAAGGAGGAGTGTCCCAAATCCCGCAGCGCTTCCAGAACCTCCGCCGGGGGATCTGAGGGAGGGAATCCATGGAAATGGGAGGGGAAGGGGTTGGGATTGACCTCTTCCCCCCCAGGAGGTACCATGGGATGGGGGTGGGGTGGGAAGGAGTTGGGATATTGGGATACTGGGAGCACTGGTTAATGGGGTGGGAAGGGCCTGGAGCTGGGATACTGGGATTTGGGATCACTGGATGGAGATGGGATGGGAAGCACTTGGATCTGGGACACTTGGACTCCAGTTAATGGGATGGGAAGGACCCAGAGCTGGGATGTTGGGATTTGGGATCACTGGATAGAGATGGGATGGGAAGGACCCGGAAAACTGGGACTCCAGTTAATGGGATGGGAAGGACCTGGATCTGGGAACACTGGGATCTGGGATCACTGGTTAATGGGATGGGAAGGATTTGGAACTGGGAACACCAGGATCTGGGATCAGTGGATAACAGGATGGGAAGGACCCAGAGCTGGGATATTGGGATTTGGGAGCACTGGTTAATGGGATGGGAAGGGTCTGGATCTGGGATATTGGGATTTGGGATCACTGGATGGAGACGGGATGGGAAGGACCTGGATCTGGGACACTGGGATCTGGGATCACTGGATGGAAATGGGATGGGATGGACCTGGATCTGGGACATTGGGATCTGGGATCACTGGCTAATGGGATGGGAAGGACCCAGAGCTGGGACACTGGGATTTGGGATCAGTGGTTAACAGGATGGGAAGGACCTGGATCAGGGAACACTGGGATTTGGGATCACTGGATGGAGACGGGATGGGAAGGACCTGGATCTGGGAACACCAGGATCTGGGATCAGTGGTTAATGGGATGGGAAGGACCTGGATCTGGGAACACTGGGATTTAGGATCACCGGATGGAAATGGGATGGGAGGGACTTGGAACTGGGACACTGGGATGTGGGATCACTGGATGGAGATGGGATGGGAAGGACCTGGATCTGGGACACTGGGATTTGGGATCACTGGTTAATGGGATGGGAAGGACCTGGATCAGGGAACACTGGGATTTGGGATCACTGGATGGAGACGGGATGGGAAGGACCTGGATCTGGGAACACCGGGATTTAGGATCACCCGAAGGAAATGGGATGGGAAGGACTTGGAACTGGGAACACCGGGGTCTGGGATCAGTGGGATCTGGGATCACTGGTTAATGGGATGGGAAGGCCCTGGATCTGGGAACACTGGGATTTGGGATCAGTGGTTAATGGGATGGGAAGGCCCCGGATCTGGGACACCGGGATATTCCCCCGAATTCCCAGCCGGAGCCCCCATTCCCGGTTTTCACCTGGCACAGTCCCATCCGGTCCGGGGCTGTAAAGCGGCTCCACGGGCGCCGGGGGGGGGGCAGGGCTGGAATTCCGGGATATCCGGGAGAGGAGCCGCTTCCAGAAGGTTCCGGGAGGATTCCGGGGGGTCGGATCCGCCGCCTGGGAGGGGGGAGGGGAAGGGTCGGGATCCAAAGGGGGGTTTTCCCGATTTCCCGGGCGCCGGAGGCTCCAAATGAAGGGTTTGAGGAGCCCGAATTTGTGTTTTTAGGAGAAAAAATCCCCGTTTTTAGGAGGAAAATCCCCATTTTTAGGAGAAAAATCCCCGTTTTTGGGGCCCGACGTCAATTTTTGGGGAAGAAAAATCACGTTTTTAGGTTTAAAAATTACGTTTTCAGAAGGAAAATCCCCATTTTTGGGGGTAAAATCCCTGTTTTTGGGGCCCGATGTCAGTTTTTAGGGGAGAAAAATCACAGTTTTAGGGTTGAAAATCACATTTTTAGGGTTGAAAATCCCGTTTTCAGGAGACAAATCCTCATTTTTGGGGCCGAATCCCCCATTTCAGGGCCCCAAAAATTCCAACTTTTCCAGTCCCAAATCCCTCCTTTTTCAACCCCCCCCCCCCTCTGGTGGGAATGGGAATCTCTTCCCTAAAAATTCCAACCTCATTCCCAATGGGAATCTCTTCCCTGATCATTCCCAGCTCATTCCCAA